ACCTTGTCTCTCTCTTGAGGAATCTGTTTAAGGACCAAGTAGCAACAGTAAGAACTGACCATGGAACAACAGACTGGTTCAAGATTGGGAAAGGCATACGGCAGGGTTGTATACTCTCACCCAACCTATTCAACTTGTATGCAGAACACACCATGCGAAGTGCGGGGCTTGAGGAAAAAGCCTTGGAAATAGTTCATATTATACCCAAGCCAAATGAAATTTAGTTCTTCTGTCAGTCTCAAGAGGGTCTTTTTCTACCCAACATGACTTATTTGTATAGGTCCCATCACCGAGAAAATAGCAGCATGGGATTTTCAGAATGAAAATAGCATAGGGGAAGAGTGGTCATGACCTTTTGTCTAGTACTATATCACTTTCCCTGGCCATTGCTATGCATATATTCATTTACCACACATATCACATCTAGTAGTCCCCAAATGTAACTGCAAGCAGCAAACAGTTACTATTTATCTTGCCTATTTCTGTCTCAGGGCAGATCCAGACAAGCCTTTATCCCAGGAGAATCCGCATTTTAAAAACACGGATTTTCCTGGGGGCCTGTACACACACACCCCAGAAGGCACACACTTTCTGGGGTGGGTGTCCAGATGCTTTCACGGGACTGGGCCACAAGAACATCTAGAGGCTCTACCCCTCTCCCCCAAAGCTCCAAGATCCTTTAGAAAAGTAAAATGAACTTACCTGCCCTCCAGTACACTCTCAAAGCAGCTCCCATGGCACATATAAATCACGTGCCAGGAGAGCGGGGGGGGGGGGGGGGGGGGGGGGGGGGAGTGATCCCCCCCCCCACTGCTCCTGGCACGACATTTCTACAGACTGGGAGAGCTACTCCGAGAGTGCACTGGATGCTGGGTAAGTTTATTTTACTTTTCTAAGGGGTCTGAGGGTTTTGGGGAGAGGATGGGTATTCCCACAGTTTTCCGGACTAATTTAGTCCGGAAAACTGTGGGAATGGTGTCTAGGCAGCATTACTTTTCATTACTTTTCTAAGAGGTTTGGGGGCTTAAGGGGAGGGGTGGGTATTCCCACAGTTTTCCGGGCATATTTAGCCCAGTAAACTGTGGGAATGGTGTCTGGACTGTAATCCAGACACCGAAAATAGTGTGTGCATCCCATGCCTTTCAAGAAGGCGTGGAATAAATCCACTATCTAATTAATTTGCTACAAACCAGGGTTTTCCTGGTTTGTAGCGAATTAATTCGGGACTGTCCAGAACATTGTCTGGACAACCCCTCCTTTATTGCATGAGTTACCGCAATAAAGGTACTGTCTGGACGGGCCCTCATTGATTTGTGGCACCAATTTTGTCATCACTGCCAGGTTTGCATAGATATTTCTATGAGGAAACCTTCAATCAGGCTTGTTCTCTCAACAGGACCAAGTCATTTAAAAGAGAAGTAGACCTTCATAGACATTGAAGAACATGGTTGGGTGATTGTGTGTCAGATACTCCTATGGCAGATGTTTCTGGTTCTTTGAAGGAAAGCAAACTGGTTCAGATTTCAACTGGTTTTGGTTGAGAACTCGACATATTTTTCTGAATTACTACTTTTTACAGATAATAATAGAGAATAGTTTTGTTTTGTTTTGTTTTTTTTAAAAAACTCCTCTACTCTTTGGGCATATTTGAATGCAAAACAGTAGGTTTAAGCAAACCTAAGTCTTAAATTACTGAAAAATTATACTCCTCCGCTTTCCCCATCTAAAGTAGATTCAAGTGATTTGTATCATCCTGTATTACTCATATGCGTTTACACATCTCTCTGGTGTTTTTCAGCCATTCTTTTCTAATGCTAGTTGTGCAGCCTGATCCTACTCATGTTTATCCGGAACCAAGACTCAGTGTTCACTGTGGTTTAGTGCCCAGTTGAGTATGACTAAAATTGTAGCTTCAGGTTCCTGGACAGCTCATCAAATGCAGCAGAGTTTGGATATCATTCATCTGTCCAAATGGGAAGGTTTTAATCTTTTCCTTATTTTACTGCAGGGAGAAAAGTAACAGCCATAGAACAGTCTTGGAGAAGAAATCTGGATTGTTAAGTAATTTCTCTGACTGATCAGTTCTAAGGTAGCGTTATTGTGAAACAGTTTGTCTATGGTAGAAAGGGATGATCATGGATGGAAGACAGATCTGATGTGCCCCGGGAGCCTCTTGTGCAACCTGTCTAAAAATCAATGCATGCACATACATAGTAACCCATCACAGTTCTTGCATCAGTAACATTCAATGTATTACTCAATAATTATGTTCCCCTTATATTCTTTGAACCATGCACATCCTTCTGTATCACTAAAGACCCAGAGTGGTTTATATACTGTATATACTTCAGTATAAGCCTAGTTTTTCAGCCCTTTTTTAGGCTGAAAAAATCCCCCTTGGCTTATACTCGAGTCATTGTTATTCATTATTTTACTCTGTTAAATCTATCTATGTATATAATAAAAGTCAGTGTTTGTATGCGGAGGGAGGACGGGAGGTTATGTGGCAGCGTTCTGATTGGCTGCAACTGTGGTACTATTTGCATATGGTCTCTGATTGGCCACCAGGACATTCCGAGCTAGCAGAGGGAAAAGGAAAGGGGCCTGAGGCTGTCAGGAATGGTTGGAGTTGAAGTCCAAAACACCTTATGGCCCCCAACAATGAGAGAACAAGACCAAACCTGGCACACAGAACCCCCACCCCCACCCCCCAAGACCCACTCAACATCCTGGTGCAGTTTGAGGGAGGATGGACCATGGATGATGGGACTTGCAGTATTTTAACTCACTTCCTTAGAGCACTGTGGCCCACACCAAGGACGGATCAGGACCAATCTTGGCACACAGAAGCCCAATGGCCCACTTTACAACCTGGTGTGGTTTAGGGCAGGATGGGCCACGAATGATGGGATTTGCAGTACCTTCACCCAATTCACTTCCCACAGAACATTGTAGCTCCTATAAATCACAGACCAGCTCCAAACTTGGCACACAGAGTACTCATGACCCACTCTACGTCCTGATGCAGTTCTAAGGGAATGGACCATGGATTATGGGACTTGCAGTACCTTTACTCACTTACTGAAACCACTGCGACCCTCATCCAATGACTGATCAAGACCAAATTGGCACAAAGAGCCCCCATGACCCACTCTACATCCTGCTGCAGTTTGGAGAAGGGTGGACCATGGATGATGGGACTTGCAGTACCTTCACTCAATTACTGAAACCACTGCCACCCTCATCCAATGACTGATCAAGACCAAACTTGGCACACAGAGCTCCCATGACCAACTCTATATCCTGCTGCTGTTTGGAGGAGGGTGGGCCATGGATGATGGGACTTCAAGTACCTTCACTCACTTCCTGAAAACAATGCAATCATCATCCAGTGACCAATAAAGACCAAACTTGGCATACAGAACCTCCATTACCCACTTTCTGTAATAACCCGGGCAGCACCGGGTCCCCAAGCTAGTACATAATAAATGTATTATTATTATTATTACATTTATTGTTTCACTTTATTATTGTTGCTATTATTACATTTATTATTTTACTCTATTATTACTGTTATTATTACATTTCCATTGTTTTACTCTATTATTATTATTACATTTATTATTTTATTCTATTTATTATTATTGGATGGATGTGTAAGCACATTTACATTGAAGGAGGTCAGAATAAGGCTTGAATCAGAGTTGGGCACTCTTATCTTAAATTACAGTTTTATGTAAATATTCAAAAACATTTAACCTACTGATGCCTCAATTAATGTAATTATATTGGTATCTATTTTTATTAAGAAATTGACCAGTAGCTGCTGCATTTCCCACCCTCGGCTTATACTGGAATCAATATATTTTCCCAGTTTTTTTGTGGAAAAATTAGGTGCCTTGGCTTATATTTGGGTCGGCTTATACTTGAGTATATACGGTAAGTATTTTTACTTAGTTCATCCTAACCCTTTCCGTTCTTTCCTAGGTCTGTATTTCCTTAACAATACAAGAATCCCGTTTCTTGCTCCCCTTTATCTCACCCAGACAAGAATTTATTGGTTTCCCATCTGTTTGCAAGATTAGCAACAGAACTGCCAATCCATTCCATGTATATGGGCCCTTCCACACAGCCCTATATCCCGAAATAAGCAGATATTGTGGTATTTTCTGCCTTAATATTCTGGGATATAGGGTTGTGTGGAAGGGCCCTATGCTTTTCCACCTAGAAGACACCAGCAACCAAGAGCTGTAGGCATCTTGGCACAGGAATTTTACTTATACCATGCAAGTATAAGTAGAGATCAAACATAGTGTAATACCAAGGCAGGGAGTGCAGAACTCTGTTTCAGAAATTTCAGTAGTGGCAGGATCAAAGGCAAAAAGGGTGGGACAAAAATGCCATTATATTTTATTTTACAGCTATTATTACCAGTAACTAAGCCACGGGGGAACCACTTTAAGTTTTTTAGACCAGGAAACAAACTGCATGAAAACTGATAAACTACCAAATAGTTTTATCATGGAGAATGAAGTGTGGATATCATGAAGGCTGCAGTGTCCTTTGAGTGGTGGTTAATGCCAGAAACTCAATTTCAGATTCCCATCGTGTCCTCAAGTTCCTTGAGTGACCTTGGACCATTCAAGGTCCAACCTCAAATCCTGCACTACGTTAAAAGTAATAATAATAATAATAATAATAATAATAATAATAATATAATAATAATAATAATAATAATAATAATAATAATAATAGCATTATTTATACCCCGCCACCATCTCCCCAAAGGGGACTCGGGGTGGCTTACATAAGGCCACACCGATCAATACAGTAAACAGAATATAACACAAAACACAACAAAATCAAGAAATAAAATAACACAAAATACAGAACCAATGAAATAAGCAATACAACAGTAAAAAAAATCAAAACATTAAACACTAACATTAAACACTAAAAGTAGGATGTAAGTCAAAGAAATAACTCTTATCCTAACTTACCTCGCAAGGTTGTTGGTAGGATAAAATGGTAGAAAATCTCCATATTCTATAGCTGCTGGGGATAATGAAAAGAAATAGTTGTCAACTCTGAAAGAATAACAGACATCAACAAATGGGCAGAGCTCAGCATTTTCAGGATAGGAATTTTCAGAGGAGAAGCCCAGCACCATTTTTCCTCTCAGTGCCCACGTGTGAGCCAGATTGAATGCTTGGTCCCACAGCCACGTCTTAAGCTCCTTTCTGAAAGACTGGAGGGAGGGAGTTGACCTGATTTTATTGGGGAGGGAGTTCCATAGACGAGGAGCCACCACTGAGAAGTCTCTGTCTCTTGTCCCCACCAATCGCTCATGTGAAGATCAGGGCCTCCTCAGATTATCTTAACTTCTGAGGTAGGTCATAGAGGGAGATACATTCAGACAGGTAAGCTGGGCCGGAACCATTTGGGTCAGTACGTCTCCTCTAACTGGAATTACCAATTGAATTTAGGCTTAAGTGTATAGGGTGAGAAAGTTCATTTTAATTTTCTTTATTTTTTCACTACAGCTTTATTTTGTGTGTGTGTGTGTATATATATATAATTAGTAAATAATATCCTTTTATGTGTTTGTGAGTGATTTGGGGGCTCGAGTGCAGAACATGTAGGGTAATTGCTTAAATAATGTGTATATCCTAAGAAGTAGTTCTCATTATTATATGATATATTAATGATATATTATTCTTTTCTCCACATTACTGGCATAGCCAAAGACAGGGCATGAATAAAAAGGGAGTAGGCCAAAAGGCAAATTGTACCTGCACTCAGTTTTTTTCCAATTTACACCATTTATTTTTTCACACATCCATTAGTTTTGTGGCTCAAAAAATGTATGATTTTATTTGCTGAAAAAAATGACTGCATCATCTCCATAAAATGGAAACCATTTGTTTCCATGGGAACAGGTGCCCGCAGCAACAAGTTTGCCAGTCTGTATCATCACTGAATTTGCATACCTGAGATTTTATGAATCTTAATCTAATTATATATTTTTGTGTCATCTACTGTTCTGTGCCTGATCTTCTGTATGGACTTACATTGAATACATAGATAACATGTATTAAACTGTTCAGGACACATGTTGACACACACACATATCAGAAAATAAGCTTTACATTTCCAGGCACCTTTAAATAGATAACATCAGCTATATCATGAATTGCATAGCATTTTTTATTTCACTTTCTTTAAAAAATGGTTGCAAAATGTGTCATACTTGCAAAAGCAACTGCATTCCTTGTAGTAGTAACACTAACATCCCTATTTTTTTTTACTACACTTGAATTATCTAGATATAAATGCATATGCGGTTATATCAAATTTACATTCTACTTAGTTGTAAAACTGGATTCTTTGGGGAGCAAATATTATTTTATTCTCCCTGAGTTATATGAAGACAGTCCACGTTCTTTCGTCCACATCATATGCATGGAAGAAAAGACACAGAAAATGCAATTGTTCAGGAAAGATCCATCATATTTTAAGTTGAGGACTCTTTCTCACGATCATTGGAAACTATTCCTTGAAACAAAATATTGAAAGAAATCATATACTCTGACACAATAATAAAACAACTGTGGACTACATTATCCCATAAGAGCGGGTTGAAATCTTTTCTCAGCCCCACCACAATTACAGGAACATCTAGTGCAGTGGTTCCCAACCTATGGTCCATGGACCACTAGTGGTCCACAAGAACTAAAATATGGTTCGCTGCCTCACTGTTACAATGAAAGTGACTGGTTTCGCGACACCCACTTACAGTGCTGAGGCTTATTAAATATGGTTTTCTGTGAGTGAGCAGATGGTGATTACTGGATGACATATGTTCTGTATCAGAAACTAGAGCTGATGTGGTCTATTCAAAGCAATTTTCTGAATCAGCACCCCAAATAACCAAACCGAATCTAAAGTTGACCGCAAACTGATTCATAACCCCTTTGGTACAAATGTTGGAGAGTGGTCCCTGGTCAAAGTGGTCCCTGGTTAAAAAAAAAAAAAGGTCTGGAACCACTGATCTAGGGCGGATCCAGACAGGACTTTATCCCAGGAGAATCCTTGTTTAAAAAACACGGATTTTCCTAGGGTCCTGTTCACACACATCCCAGAAAGTGCACACTTTCTGGGGCGTGTGTCTAGATGTTCTCCTGGGACTAGCCTCTGAAGGCCCTACCCCCTCCCCAAAAGCTTACCCCCCTCCTCAAAGTGATTTTCCTCCCTCCTCTCCCCCTCTCTCCTGGTGCATCAATTCTACGTGCCGGGAGAGCTGCTTCAAGCCTGTAATGGAGGCCGGGTAAGTTTTCATTACCTTTCATTACTTTTTTAAGGGCTTTGGGGGCTTTGGCCCAGTAAATTGTGGGAATTGTGTCTGGACTATAATCCAGACACCGGAAATAGTGGATTAATCCCACGCCTTCCAAGAAGGTGTGAAATAAATCCACTATCTAATTAATTCTGGTTTGTAGTAAATTAATTCAGGACTGTCTAGAACGTTGTCTGGACAGACTCTCCTTTATTGTGGGAGATACCGCAAGGGCTTCTTGATGGCTGGTCATAGGCCCTACCAAGGGAATCCATGTGAAAAACTACAGTATTTTTATTCCATCATATTTTGGGGAATACTTTTTATAAGGAGAATGTTGTTTTAGTAGTGTGTTCTGTTTTATTTCTTACTTATGTAATGGCTATGTAGTTCTTAATTGCAAATTATATTTTAATAATAACTTTTTGTATATTTTTACGTTGATATGTTTTCATCCGCATCTACTTTAACTTTTGTAAACCACCTTGAGTCCCAGCACTGGGGCAAAAGCACAATACAAACGATGATTGATGATGACAATGATGATGATAACTACTTGCATAGTTGAGAGACATTCCTGTTGTACTTTTCAACTAATATAATATGTTACCTCTGTGTCCATTCCTACCCAGGATTCACCTTCCAAAATGGTTGCTAATATATTCTGACTAATGGCAAATGCAGCAAGAAAAGATGAAAATAATTTGTAGCTGTGCGGGTTTGTAATTCTAAAACACAATGTAGCCAAAATTAAGTGTATTTATACCCCATTAGAGTTCAACAGTGATGGTTAAGTGATTTTACTGTCTTCCCTGACACCATTGAGACAGAATAGCATTTAAGCCCTAAACGGTTCAGGCCCCGCCTATCTCTGCGATCGCATCTCCTTCTATGAACCGGCGCGAGCTCTAAGATCTTCTGGGGAGGCCCTCCTCTTGGTCCCACTACCGTCTCAAGCGCAGTTGGTGGGGACGAGAGAAAGAGGGCCTTCTCAGTGGTGGCCCCCCCCATCTCTGGAATGCCCTTCCAAAGGAAATAAGACAGGCCCCATCCCTCCCCTCCTTTCGTAAGAGCTTGAAGGCCTGGTGGTTTCAACAAGCCTTTGAAAATTACCAGTTCTAACTCAGCCCTACACATTGTCGAATACGGCCTTATTCTTCCTACCAGTTACCCAGATTCTTTCCTCTAATCGGCCCCGGAATGAAAAGCCACAGACCCGTACCTAATATTATTGTTGCTTGCCATAGCATTGCACTCAATTCCTGGGCCCCCTAGAATTTTTGGGCTTGCACAAATCTTGGCCCGGCCTTTTTAATGTTTAATTGCCTTGAACAGGCAGGATTACTTTTAATATATGTGTGTTATGGCAACAATTTTTATGTTTATATTTTGTTTGTTAATCTTATGGTTATGTTTTTACTCTGTATGTTTTGTGATATTACTTGGGAACCGCTCTGAGTCCCCTCGGGGAGATGGAGCAGTATATAAATAAACTAGCTGTCCCCTGCCACGCGTTGCTGTGGCCCAGTCTGTTGATCTGGAAAATAAAGGGAATGAGAAAGTGTTGGTATCTAATATATGTAATTTCTTTATGCTTGTGGGGAAACAATATTTCTTGCTGTTTCTTTGCCAGTGTTGATGTGGAGAGTGTCTGGTTTGCCCACCCTGGAACATGCAAGGTATCATTGTCCTTCTTTAAGGGTCCCTTTCAAATCTATGATACTATCTCTCTCTCTCTCTGTGAATCATATCAATCTGTCTGTCTGTCTGTCTGTCTGTCTGTCTGTCTGTCTGTCTGTCTGTCTGTCTGTCTGTCTGTCTGTCTATCTATCTATCTATCTATCTATCTATCTATCTATCTATCTATCTATCTATCTATCTAATCTATCCAGCTATCTATATCTATGGCTGGATGACTCTTTGTCAGGAGGACTGTTTATGGTTTCTTTCCCTGATGAAGAGAGTTGGATTGGATGGTCTTAAGTATTTTCTGTTGGTCATGAGAGTTCTGTGTGGGAAGTTCGCCCCGATTCTGTCATTTGTGGGGTTCAGAATTCCCTTTGATTGTAGGTGAACTGTGAATCCCAGTGCCTACAACTCCCAAATGTCAAGGTCTATTTCCCCCAAACTCCATCTGTGTTTATGTTTGGGCGTATTGAGTATTCGTGCCAAGTTTGGTCCAGATCCATCATTTTTTGAGTCCACAGTGCTCTCTAGATGTAGGTGAACTACAACTCCCAAACTCAAGGTCAATGCCCACCAAACCCTTCTAGTGTTTTCTGTTGGTCAGGGGAGTCCTGTGTGCCAAGTTTGGTTCAATTCCATCGTTGGTGGAGTTCAGAATGCTCTTTGATTATAGGTGAACTATAAATCCCAGCAACTACAACTCCCAAATGACAAAATCATAATTTTTTGAGTGATGGTCACTCCTTGTGTTGTGAGACGTTTTGTTGCCAAATTTGGTGTGATTTCGTTCATTGGTTCTTTTGTTTTTAAGGTACTCATTACGCACAGAGCATTTATATATATGTAGATTATTATTATTATTATTATTATTAATAATAATAATAATTATTATTATTATTATTATTATTATTATTATTATTATTATTATTATTAATGTTGCCTGGATCATGTTCCTGATGTTAAGATTTCCTCCTGGAATAAAATTTAAGGATATTACTTGTTTTATTTCCGGTGCTTTTTTTGGAGCAATGAA